TCATATATACGTCTATCAGCTATGATCAATTTGGTGATGTAATTGAGTGCGGTTATTATCACTTTCTTCGACTAGTGTCTAAGGGACTAGGATTATTTTCTGGGTTTCATGCTTGGTTGGGACCGTCCTATCCGACCGACGTCTGTTTCGTACTTAGGAGATCAGCGCCCTAACCGACGGACGACATTCGGGTCCAGTTGGCGTTTAACCAAGCATTCACTATACTGCAGCGAATTGAGCAAACACCCTCGACTGATCTACCTCTGCGATTGCATATAAAAACTTTCGCACGTGGATCAATAACTCTGTATGGATGCACTTTGAAAGGTGGTGACAACCTTGTAGGGAAGGTAAGTTGTGCCCGTGGGAACCTATCCTGTCGTAGAAGACCGCGGAAAGTACGCCTGGCGCACCCGGTTAGAGCGGCAAAAGGAGGATGTAACCACACCCGTCTCGGCGGTTCGTGGGATTACTTACGCACCGTCTCTAAGATATCTCTTGTTTTGTTTGGTTTGGTTTGGTTAGATTCCTGCGTAACATGGCCGGAAGGGTTCTCGCCTTTTGCGAAAAAAGGCAGGAGTTGATGTGCTCGACAACGCAACTAAGAACCCGACGCAAACAATTGGCATTGTTCCACTGCACAACATTCTAAAAGTATATGGAAACCCCAATACGCTCAAAATGTTCCATCAATCAGATTGTATCTGGTCAAGAGTCAACACAGATGCATGGTAAATATTGAGCCATGGAGCGAGGCCCAATGGTGAAAGAACACATATACAAGAATGAAAGAGACAAACATAGCCACTTCTATCTGAGAAAGTGCAGTCGCTCTCTCATGTATTTTTACTTGTTGCTTTCCATAATAGTCAAACAAAAGCAAGCTAATATGGCACGAGTCATTGGCGTTGTGCCCCTCCCCCAAAAAAAAGGAAAGCCCACTCCCTTAGGAAAAGAAACAAACAAAAAGAAATCCGTGCGCGCAACAAAATTGCACATTTGTGGCCAGCAAGCGTCTTCTTGTTCTCTGGGTTTGTGTTTGACCTTGGAGTTTGTTTTTTTATTTTAATGCTCTGATGATTTTTTACATTCTAACTTCTAAGATTGTTTCCTTTGTAATGACCTTGCCAAACACGGAGTGAGACACACATCTGATTCTTGAGTTTTTCTCATGGAATGAATGCGCTGCTGAGTTTCCCACTTGTTGCCAAGTTTTCTAAGTGTGTGTGTGTGACCCGCAAGGGCACTTGTTCGTTCAGAGGGCCCGCAGGGCCGGTACTTACGTGTGGCCGTGGCATTGAGGGTTGCAGCGGGGAAAACGCTCAAGTGGTGGGAAAGAGGTCCACAACACTTGAAGCAGCGGGAAAAACACTCAAGTAGCAGGTAGGCAGGTACCCCACCGACTAGAGGTAGATGTGCTGGGTACTCTAGGCCGAGCAGAAAAAGATAAAAGTTGGCATTTTAGAGGCCCAGTAGGTGTAGGCTAGGTCTAGGCGGGTACCAGTCCAACCAGTCTGAGCCTAGGGCTTGTACGGGCCAATATGAGAGTCTGCAATGATGTTTCCCTGCGAAAGGGAGAAGGTACCGGTTGTTAGGAGGCCGCGTGGCCTGGGAAGTCACTCACCAAGAGACAAGTAGGTCGTTATATCTCCAGGAGGAGCAAAGTGCTCCTCATTGTCGGTGTGCAAGTTTGGCGACACACTGGTTGGAGCGCTGGCTGGAGCAGTGCTAGTTTGGAGCAGCGCTGCTGGGGAAGGAGCAAGGACAGGAGGAGGAAGAAGACCAGGACTAGGAAGGGGGAGCGCCAGAGGTACTGACCTGGCTATGGTGGTTGCCATCTTCATCACCTTGGTGGGCGCTGCAGCAAGAAGGCCCCAGCGGGGGTAGAGCTACACCAAGAAGCTTTGAGGCAGAGTCAGGCATGGCGGCCTGAGCTAGAGCAGCCGTAGCTGCTTGAGTTGTCTTCTGCACATCAGGGCAAGGCCCTACCAGTCTGCCATAGCCTAGACCTTTGAGAAGAGGAAGGAGGAGGGTGCCATGGCTATGGTGAACATCATATGATACCTGCAGTAGAAGAGGGATTCGGACATTGATTGTGGTTCAGCCATTCAACATTATTAACATTATTATTGTTATTTCTTGATTGAATAAGAGGGGAGGAGATAAGGAGGAGGAGAGTGGTTGGCGAAGAAGAAGAGCATTATCATTGGTCTATGCTGGTGTACATCATCTTCTTCTTTCTTTCTTTTTGCATTTGGACCAGTGCTAAATACCCGGTCCTACCGGGGGGTCCACCCCCAACCGGAACTGGGCCGGTGGGACCGGCCGGTCGACCGGCCCGGTTGGCCCCCGGTAGGCTATAGCGCATTCCCAAAAAAAGGCCGGTTCGAATTTTTAATGGGCCAGGAGGCCTCCCCACGGGTTGTGGGGGCCTCCTGGCC